AGAGGATTGCTAGGAAAGTAGGCAGCCAGATTATATATCTCTTTGTAATGCCTTCATATTTAGTCTAAAACCCATACTGATTGAGCCTAGTCTCCTCTTAGGGTAGTCTCTTGTCCTGTATGACCTTCTGGCACTGTGGGACTGACCAGCATCCTCATTGACCTGAAGACTTGTTGTCAGAAGCCCTTGGAAAAAGCTGTTATGGCCTTCTAGGAAGTTCAATAAGTCCTTGTGAAGTCCACAGCACTAGAGATAAATTGACCTCTTGGCCAATAGAATTTCCCAAAAAGAGGTCAGAATGTCTTTTTTAGTTTGATCAGGTAATGAAAGTGTTAGCCATCTGAACAGAACCCAGAGAGCCATCTGCCTTTGACATGCAAAACACAAATCAGATGGAGCCCACAGTGTAAGAGAGGCACAAAGCCAACTGAATTGGGCCTTTGTAATTTCTCCATCATGTTTCAAATCACTTCCTGGGGACTATATAATTTGTATGCATGCTGTTCTTAATGGAACTGTGTAATGCTATAGTTAACATATCTCCTTTGTTTATTAAGTAGGCAGTTGTCCCAGATATATGCTGCTGTTGTTGAGGCTGTTCTGGCTGGCATTGCATGCTATGCTAAAACTTCCAGTATAACCAAGGTAATTTGATTACTGTGTTTCTCTTCCCTTAGCAGTTCCTTCCTTATTTCCTTTCAAGAACGTCATAAAGACCTATTTGCCGTTTGGACTCTACTGTCCCTCTACTCTGGTGTGAGCTTGGCTTTAGGAGAGTTGGCATCAGGGAAATCATAGCCATTCTGGCCCTGACATGGCATTATTTCTAGGTTTGAGCTGTACCTGCCCATGTGACCAAGTCTAGTCCCCTTTCCTTGTGGCTGCTTTTGCAAGACTGTCTTTGCTATGTCTTTTTAGTTCCAACTAATTAACAGTTGTCTTAAAGGCATATGGTCATGTTGAAACTATTTGGTATCCTGCTGATAGATTTTTAAAAATCTATTTTAACAAATTAAATCTTTAATAGATTTTTTTAAAAAGCTATTTTTTAAACTAAAGAAAGCAAAATATATTGTTTTAGAATGATGTCATTTCTATATGATTTGAATTTCTGTAACTTTATGTAAAAGACTTAGAGGTTAGAGTAATTAATTTCCCTTCCACCCTGAGTGGTGTTGAATCCTCTGACCATATTTTCAGTGATATTCTGCTATTTACAAACCCATTCCAGTGAGTTCCTGGATCCAGTTGAGTTTGGAGAGAAAAAGACTATTTGCCAACCCCATGAGACTGGTGGCTTCCCAAAACTGAGAAGGCCCTTCCTGAAGGAAGCTGTTTAGCAGTGGCAAGGCTATGTCATATTTGTATATAAAGGAGAGGGCTGACTTTATCTGTAGTCACTGACTCTCTGATACTTCCCATCTCCACGCTGAGGGCACCCTAGGCTTGGTTTTTGAATCTCTGGCTTACAGGTTTCTCTTCCACATTGTTAATTTTCTAAAGATGAGCTGGAGTGGGCGGGCACCCCAGACTTCTCCAGATGCTTCTCCCCAAAGTGGTTCCCGAGTTAACTAAGGGAAAAATTGGTTGTATGGAATTACTAAGTGCTGGGAGGGATATGCAAAGTGCTAGACATATCTTTTTAAATCAGTAATCAGACTTTTCCCCCCTATAGATCTTTTAAAGCTACAATTCTTTGGATGTTCTTAATATGAAATAAAAGCACCAAATAGAAGCTCTTATTTCTCGCCATGTTTTGCCCATGGCTAGTGGTCTAGGGTATAGTAGATAAAGTGCTGGGCCTAGAGTCAGGAAGATTTATCTTCCTGAGTTCAAATCTGGCCTCAGACACTTACTAGCTGTGTGACCCTGGGTAAATCGCTTAACCCTGTTTGCCTCAATTTCCTCATTTGTAAAGTGAGCTGGAGAAGGAAATGGGAAACCACTTCAGTATCTTTGCCAAGAAAACCCCAAATGGG